GGAGCCCCTTTAGGCACTGGAAGGGGCTCTGAGGTCTCCCCTTTTGGCCTTCTCCTCTCCAGGCTGAACCCCCCCACCTCTCCCAGCCTGTCCTCCCAGCAGAGGGGCTCCAGCCCTCCCAGCATCTCCGGGGCCTCCTCTGGCCCCGCTCCAACAGCTCCGTCTCCTTCTGCTGGTGGGACCCCCCGAGCTGGAGGCAGCACTGCAGGGGGGTCTCCCCAGAGCAGAGCGCAGCAGAGGGGCACAATCCCCCCTCGCCCTGCTGGCCACGCTGCTGGGGATGCAGCCCGGGGTGCCGGGGGCTTTTTGGGCTGCGATCGCACATCACCGGCTCATGGGGAGCTTCTCATCCCCCAACACCCCCAAATCCTCCTCCTCAGGGCTGCTCTCAATAATGGGTGCAGGATGGGAGCAGCCGGCTTCCCTCTGCGCCGCTGGTGTGGGGTGTTTCTTTCTAAATCATGAGGGAGGAAAATAAATGTGGGTCTGGGTAAAATAACCTGCATGTGGGCTGGGTGGGAGGGGAGGGACAGGCAGTGCCGGTCGTGTCACTGCTATTTATTGGCGTCCAACATGTAGAAGAGTGCGGCGGTGCCCAGGAGTCCTGTCTTCTCGTCGGGAGTGCTTGAATAACCCAGATGAAGAGGTTGACCTTGCCCTGGAAATTTTTGCAGCCTGTCGGGAGGCTGTAAGTGGGTCAGGCAGCTGGTGTAAGTGGGAAAATAATCCAGTTCACACCGCTGGCAGCCCGTCAGCAGGAGAAAACTGAGTGCGACCCACACGTCCAGCTGCGGGAAGTAGCAAAAAGGAGGTACAAAGCGCTTCGGTGGCTCTCGCCCAACTCCGGGCTCAGGCAGGGAGCTCGTTGTGGGGTGAGGCTGAGGTCCCCGAAGGACCGGGGAGTCCCCAGAAGAGGTTCCAGAGAAGATAGTTGCATCAGCAGCTGTGAAACGCCACGACCTGGAAAAAGCCCCCGGTCGCCGATGGCTGGAAACAGCGAAAGTCTCCAGGAAAAAACTGCTGTGTTCCCCCATGGAGCATCCAGTGCTCTGGTCCAGCCCCGAGCAGCTGTGCTTCATTCCCTCTTCTGTTCCTTTCCCCCCGTACGTAGCCCACGAAATCGCAGTGGCCTTCTGGCTGTGGGCTCAGCAGCAGCATCTCTCCCTGGCGCTGGCCGCGTTTTGGGGGTACCTTCCCCCCTCTCCCCACTCCCTTGGTGCACTCGAGATGGGGCGTGATGAAAAGTGCTGGATGGATGGGAGGTATCGCTGCCCATCCCTTCTACTTCGTTCAATTACTGCTTCATTTGTTCCTACATTTAATTTGATCAAAACCTTCCAAAAACAAATCGTTCCTATTAAAAAAAAAGAGAGAGACCACAATTTCTACCCTTTATTTTCATCAGTTCTTATGGCTTTAGGCAGGTACTGTTGGATGATTCAATCACTGGTTGGACAAAGATGACATTTAATTAAGAAGGAAGGAAAAGGAAGCTAAAGAAAATAATGTATGCCGCCTTCTTTCTATATGAAGTGTGGGAAAAAAAGAGCTGAGGAGATTTTCTGTTGTGAAACGCAAGGTCTCATCGACAGTGTCAGCAACTTGGCTGCTTCGCAGCCATTCCTCCCCATGATTGAGATCCAGCCTGGGTCGCCCTTCAGCCGTGTGTCTATTCATTTAATGACCGAGTCGGTTTGGAAAACTGCTGCCCATCCATCTGTCCACCCGGGCCATCTGTCCGTCCTCTTCTGCATCCTTCCCGCTTCTTTATCCTTCCACCTCGCTGATACGGTTCGTGCCAAGACAAAATCCTCCCCAGAGCATCGCCGGGTTTGTGTCAGCAGAGCCGGATTACCGACACACCTGGAAAGCGCTGCGCTCCCATCGCGCCTTGTGCTTTTTCTCTGCGTTGCACCGAGCGGTGAGAGAAGATGAGACGGGGCAACCGAACCAGTAATCGGGTTAGGAGTAGGAATCACCTCCTCTTCTCCCTTCTTTATTCCTCCTGGTCCTGCTGCCATCCAGAGGTTCCCCCCATCTCTCCTCGAGTCCGGCAGGGAACGAGCATCTCAGCCCCCGGCGTCTCTGCGAGGTTTCCTTTTGGTTTTTTCCCCTCTCAGCTGCGAAAGAAGGAAGGAAAATGAAACCCCCAACCTCAGGCGTTTTAATTGCTCTTTAAGGTTTCAGGGGGGAGATAAAAACGAGCAGTGAAATTTTACAGTCGTGTAACGACGCCGGGAGCAGCGCGGCCAAATGAGGTTGTGAAGTTTACGGTGTGCCGTGCCGGTCAGGCAGCGCGGGGAGAGGGCCGGGGAGGTGGGGAGCAGTAAGGGATGGAGGCACAAAGGTCCCACGCTGGGGGGGGCTCATCCCATCCCCCGTGGGGTACCCTCCCTCGCCCGTGACCCTCCAGCAGGCTGGGTCCACCGGAGGCGAGACAAGAAGTTGCACCTCCTGAGTCTAGATGTCATTTAGATCTCTCTGTAGCCCATTTATCCTCTTTTCTCTCCTTTATTATTATTATTTCTTATTTTTTTTTCAAACATTGCTCCTCGCTGTTGAGGTGCTCCATGCCGGGAGCGGCGGCGGAATCCCGTCCTTCTCCCTCTTGCTCTTTGCACCCAGGTCCCGGCTGGCGGATTTCCACACCAACTGCCAAGCATCCTTCCAGTCCCTGACCGGCTGCCCCGGGGACAACTACCAGGCGTGCCTGGGCTCCTACGCGGGGCTCATCGGTGAGTGCCGGGGGGTCAGGATGGGGAAAGGTCTCTCCCACCACGGCCCCTCATCCCTCTTCCTTCTCCTCTGCCGGGAGCAGGCTTCGACATGACGCCCAACTACGTCGACGCCAGCACCACCAGCATCACCATCTCGCCCTGGTGCTCCTGCAAAGGCAGCGGCAACATGGAGGAGGAGTGTGAGAAGTTCCTCCGAGACTTCACAGAAAACCCCTGTCTCCGTAAGGCTCTTCCCCCGTCCCCCTCCTCACCCTGCCCCATCGCCGCTGGGGTGTAGCATCCCCCCTAAACATCTCCCACCCCCCAGGAAACGCCATCCAAGCCTTCGGCAACGGCACCGACGTGAACCTCTCCCCCAAGAACCCATCACCCCCCATCACCCTGCCGCCGAAGACAGAGAAGAGCCCTGCCTTGCCCGATGACATCAACGACAGCAACACCATGTACGACACGAGCGTCATCACCACCTGCACCTCCATCCAGGTAGGACCCGAGCCCCGTCACTGCTGCAAACTGGGAGAACTGGTCTGCACCCTTGGTGGGTCAAGTCAGGCAGGAGATGGGCTGCAGCAGAAAGTCCTGGATGGACTTTTTGGCTGGACTCAGCGCGTGCATCCCAGTTTGGATGCAGCGTTGGTACCCGGCTGTCTGGTAGGATCTGGCCATCCCTGGAAATGGGGGTCCGGGCACTGCCCGGGGGTCTGGCGTGGGGAAGGGAGGGATCCATGGCATGTCCACCCTCCGGCACCGTCCCCTGCCTGGCACGGCGCTGTGCCCAGGACGAGCTGAGCTGGAGTAGCTGCCCCGAGCTCGATTTCTCCTGCCCCCCTGGCTTGTTTGGGGTGAAACCAGCTTGAATTCTACGTGGCTTTGGGAAACCTGAAAAAAATACATATTTTCTTGCATTGTGCAGGGCTTGTGGGTCCGCGCTTTGCTCCTTTTGGGGGGGGGGGAGATGGGGCTGGGATGGATCTGCGCGAGTGCTTACAGCCTGGGGTTGTCCGCACTCTCTCCTGCTTCAGGCAGGAGCCCAGCAAAGACCCTGAGCCCCAGCCCGGGGAGAAGGGCTGAGCCCCTTCCCTTTCTTCTCTCCTGCCGAGCGTTTTTGGCAGCCCCGAGTGTTTGAGAAGGGCCGGAGGAGGCTTCACCCTTCAACACCAGCTTGTGCTCTGAGCCACGACTTCCAACGTGGGCTTCCAACGCACAGGGCTGCAGGCATCACCCTGGCAGGGCGGTTCTGCGGCTCCCGGGGCAGGGTGGGGGGGAATTCGGGGACCCCAAACCTCGGGGTGCGACCCCCGGCAGGAGCAGCGTGGGCTGGACATAACTTCCCTGAGCTTTTCTCCTTTCTCCTCTGCAGGAGCACGGAGCGAAGCTAAACAAGTCCAAAGAGCAGAGCCTGTGCTACTCAGAGGTATGTTTGGGGGGTGGGGGGGAGCGCGGGGAGGGGGGTCCTGGATGTTTTTCCCACTGCAAACGGCTCATGCCAGAAAAACGCCGTGCTGGGGAGCGCCGGCTTCACTGACCGGAGGGCAAAAATAGGTGTTTTCCAAGCAAGGTTGGCTGATTTTCCCCCAAAAAGGAGCCTCGATGAACCCCTGCTCTCCCCTCGCCCGCAGACGCAGCTCACCACGGACATCATGCCGGACCAGAAGACGTTC